TGCGAGTGAAAAATAGACTAATATTGCAGAATGATATTGTGAAAGAAAAAAAAAATTGATAATAGAAAGAGTAAGGGTGTCTCAACCATATTGGAGAGAAAGAGTGATGATATGATTTTAACTATGAAGACTGAATAAGATAATATATATTTTTCATTCAATTATTTAATGGAATGTTTGTTATATATGAAACATTTTGTATGAGTTTGTAAACACCCGATGTGAAAAAGCATAACATTGAATAGCTTGAGCCCAAAATACATAGTTTGTTTATTTTATTTTATAGTTGGTTGATATCATTTATTTCATTTAGACTTAAATCTGAGGTCATGTAAAAGTTTGAGACTAAATTGTCTGCCTACATTGTTAATCTCTTCATTGATCCATGTATGCAATTATAAATTTTTATAAATAAAATTAGCACAATGTGTTAACTATTGTTAACTTTTTATTATAAATTTTTATAAATAAAATTAGCACAATGTGTTAACTATTGTTAACTTTTTATTATTATAACACGTGTTTTTTTTTTCTTAAGATAATAACAACAATATATTATCACTGCTACATCTTTGCAGTAGATAAAATTCAATGTTACTTACAATAAACATCAACTACTTTTGTTATCATATATCATAAATGTTAGTTTATCAAATAATTTTTACTCTTTTATAATTTATATAATATTATTTGATGTCTTTTATTATCATTTTATGAAAATTCTATCAATGTCATATCTAAAAAATTATATTAGATTACATTCCGCATAAATTACGTGCAAAAAATAAGTGATTTGTTATTGACATGATTGTTAACGATTATTGTGAATATTTGTAACTTTACAAAATGTGATCCATCTTGCACGTCATTTTGATCACCACCGGACTTATTTTGCAAATAAATATAATTTAAATTCATTTTTCCAATTATAATAAAATTCAATACATTTGGACCTAATTTGAAATTAAATGAATGCGATTCAAAATTGAGTCATTTTTATATTTTTTCTTGAATATAATTTATATATTTGAATTTTAATTGGCTCATATGTGTACATGTTTATTTCAATTATTCTATATCAGTTTATCTATATAATAATAATGTCTTCAGTTATTCACAAATGTAGGAAATTATGTTATTATCAAGCCATTTTTAGGGAAAAATTTTCAAGAAGTGTCATTAATGTGCAAATACCAACTTTCATCGAATATGACAAATATTTTTTAAAGTTAAATTTGTTTAATTTGAAAATATTTATGAAAAATACATATGGTATTCTATAATCACAATCAGTTATATGTTGTTTTTT